TACACCAACTATTGAATTTTACATTCCAAAAAATAAGTTCTCTGTGAAGTTATCTCTTACATCAGATTCATTCAAGGTGAAATTACTATAAAACTGGAACCCTGTAAAGCACCAGCTTCAGTATTGTGAATTGACAGCACTCAAAGATGAATATTAAACACCCCTGTTGGACTTCAGTGAACATAAGAACAGTCTGATGGAAGTTAAGTGCAACCAGAGTTCAGTGCYGAGCGATCCAGATGGAAATATGGCTTATGAGCACATATATTTAACAGCAGCCTTTCATGACTAATAACAACGCACCAAAACACTTCCCTGGTGAAATCTGCTTCATGTTTGGAACCTCTGTCCCTCACCACTTCTTGCCCCTTCACGAATGTGCATGCATCACATTCTTCCCATCAAGCTGCAGTGGCCAAGAGCAAAGCCTGCTCGTGAACACGCGAACGCAGAAGGGATCCTGCAGACCAAGACACTCAGCATCTCACACGAACCCAACTATCCTCCAAATCAACTACATCACGCTTTTTTCCCCCCACTAATTCCCACTCACCACTTAACACTTGCAACATCTTTAAAGATACTGTAGCACAAAACATATGAACATGCCAATGGAAGACAGCTAGAGAGAGAGCATCTCAAACTCCTGTTTTGTTGCCCAAATTCCTTTGACATTTCAGTTTTCTAAGGGGACTGTACCCAATTCTGTAGCTTCGGTAATGAGATTGAAGAGCAACAAGAAGCATTTTATTAGTTATTTTCAAAGTCCGTTCTGCATCGAAAGYAAGGCCTGTCTCTCACAAGATGCACACTTAAACTTATGTACAGGGCTCCACAAGAAATTGAAAAAGGCTAAAAAAATTTTTCCACATAATGCTTGGCTATTTTCTCATCGGCATCGYGTATTTCCAACTCCTATCCATCCTTCCACTAAATGTATTCTTTTGAAACTGTCAAAGCCACCTGATATTTTCCTCTTCCCGCATACAAACACCACTACTGAAACATTCCAACATGGATTATATTTAATTCATATTATTGTGGCAGCTACCTCACAATATGTGAATTCAAATGCATATGGGAGCTATGTGAATTGAAAATATATTTGTGCTCACTGTCACTCAAGTCTCAGCGGAGACTGCAGAGACAAATTAAAATGCACTTGAAAAATAAAGCTGCACTGACAGCTTAAACTTAAGGCTTCAAATATCTCAATTACATATCTCCTGCTGACAGAACACACATATACTCTGCAAGTCTCTTTAAAAGCTCTTTCATATTGYGCACCACTAATCACTGTTAAAGTTATGAAAATCAACTATGCATTTCCACAGTTAACTCCTTATCCATAACATACAGCAACAAGCTTCACGACTATTTCAAATATTTTACATGGCATTTTCACTTTAATTACAAAGCTTTAGTAGCCCCACACGAGGCAAAGACCAGCTGAAGTTTGGTTCCTATTTGCCTCAACAACACCCGGATCAAACCTAACAGCAAATCTTCTATGTAAGGAAAGATAAGCAACAGTTCAGAAATATCCAATCCACACAAAACCCAAGAACATTTATGAGTAAAAACTGTTTTGTTCTCATTTGGCAAATGCATGTTATTATCATGCAGGTCCTGATTATGACAGGCTGATGAAACGTGAATCATATAAACAATTTCTTTACTTGACTAACTCGACTAAACTCTTTTTACATGAYAAGACACTAATATTAATTGCTTGGTCTCTGCAATACCCTTTTAGCATGATATTTGTGTCATAACTGCCAGCATTTAAAATCCCTATGCAACTTAATAAAAACAGCTCTACGCTGTCAAAATGCAAMCTATCTATATGGCATGTCCCAGGAGTTATAAAAGCAAAAGATGTACGAAAAGTGCTGCATTTTTCTTTCCTTGAAAAAAGAGCTATTAGAAAAGATTATTTTTTATCTATACATGAGAACTTTAAAAGTGGCACCACTCAGAAACGATCAAGGTATTCCACAGATTTAGAAAGTACAGGTGAACATTAAACAGAAGTGCTAGACTTCTATCATAAACGTGCTACCAATACCAGCGCCAGTAAACACAGAAGAGCTGCCAATGAYGGATTTATACTGCAAACTTGCTTCCCAGAGAAGTTTTATGAAGTGTGCATTTTATGCCCCTTATATTTCACGTCATAAAAARCATGATACAGCTTGCTGCACTGCATTTATTTACTACTCTACACGCACCTCCTCAATTACTGCACCCTGTTTTATCTGGGCTGTGTCACGTAGCCTGAAGTTGTGAGTGCTTTGCTATAAGGAACACCATCACCTCGTGGCACGCTAGGAAAGCGGAGAGCTCACATTTGAAATTCATTTAAGACCAGATTTCTAAAGCATTTATTTCATGACTTCCTGATAGCCATATYTTAGCTATTAATGCATCCAGAATATATAAGAGGAACAAGGGAAAGCAATCAAAATATGATCCAGCCCCGATATATTCTGGCTCAGCTCATTCCTAGCAGAGATGCAGCCTGCAGAGACTACAGATTTCTGGTAACCGATGTTACATTTACACCAGCTGAATAAACCAGCTCCAATTTTATGGACTTTTTTTCCTATTAACAGTAGTAATAATCAATTTTTTATTATTTAATGTAAATGTCTTCCTGGGGSCTTGGACAGTTTGCTAATGTAAATAACTAATCAGTGTTTCAGTCGGTATCAGATAGCAGATTATCTCYGTCAACATAAAAGTTGTAAGTTCCTGTACGACCTTTTAAACTGGAAAAACAGAAGTCACAGACATCTAAATTAGAAACTAGTTTAAATGTGAATCTTACTGCAACAGCTTAATGTCTGCAGCAAGTCATAATTAGCCTGCATGGGCTTGTAGCTTAGAGCTGAGAGGGTAACTACCTTTATTCTGGTATCTCCAGAGCCCGCAGTAGGTGCTGGGGCTACTAGTGCTGCCCACGCGGGTCGGCCCTGCGCTCAGCTCCGAGGAACGGAGGTTTGCCGGGAAGCGGAGGGAGCTCCTTGCCATTTTAATCCTCTTGCTTCATGACTGTTCTCACTTTACATCTCCAGTACAGTGCCCTGCTGGCACCTACCAGGCTGAYAGATGTTCTCATGGCCAATTTAAAACTCTAAACTTCCAGCAGAATTAAGGTGACAGATGGAAGTTCTTTGCTACGGAGCAGCGTGTCCAGGCTCGCACCCAGTGCGGCAGGGCCCGAACAAGCACTTTGTGATTATGTTCTGCAGGACTCCACGCAGCTTCGACCCTGGATGCAATTTAACAAACTGACAGGGAAGCTATTAAAAAGCAGAAGGATCAAACCCACAAAAGCTACTGCAGCACCCTCTCAAAACTTCATTCCAGCAGCAACTCTGTCACATCCATGACCTCATACGGCTTCTGAGCACGGAAGCGCTGTCAACTCACCTGGGAACTCTGCTGCACATTAGTTAATTATGAAGGCATTTCTGCTCTCATCATTGTAAACTGCACGTGGAGAAGGGTGCTGGGCAATAACTACCAATATTATTCCTTGATATTATTTCTTATCGCTTGTTTTTCAGAATTTCTCATGCTTTCTACACAAGAGCAACACATCACTGAAGATAAATGAGCARTGTCATGTCACATCAGGTCTTGATGCTTAAGAGTCAGATTTTAAAATATTCCTCAATGGCTTGCCTTTTGTCTTTGAAGCCTCATTTAAGAGGGATTTTTTCCTCTGAGTATTTGGGGCTGATTGAATTACCACACCTACCAGTCTGCCATTTTTCTAATACGCTCAAAGATTAGAATTACACAYTTGTGATAAATTAAAAGGCCTGAGCAAGCTTCCCAAATAGCCCTTTCTCCAAACCTTTGATGCACAGCAACCCTGCCATCCCAGCTGAAACCTCCTCATGAATATCAAAGCCTCAAATTGCATCATGACTGTCTCATGTTCTCTTTGTGCACTGTAAGGCTACTGACATGTTTGTATTTGGCTCTTATTCTGCTTAATTCTATAGCTTTCTCTCCTCAAACTGTGCTACTTGCTTCATGCTGAAGACAGAGGCCTCCAACTCATCACGTGAGCAGCCTGCAGCGGCTAAATAATGTTGGAAAGCCCCTAAAGTGCTACTACGTACGTTCTCCTCCATCCAGGAAAATCATGAGTTTGTAATAACATGTTTAAATTATACAGATTAAATTCTTACAGCTGAAAACTGAATCCACTTAAGAGAGTATAGAGCAAATAAGGTGCACACTGAGTCATGTTCGCAGTTAGAGCTTTTGGTGGGGCAGGATGATGATTTCAGCAATTCTGATTTTATACTACTCCTTCCAGTTTAGAGTTTTGCCTCTACTTAGGTTTAAAAACTGTTAAGGGGCTTCAGATTGACAACCATTCCTGAACACAATCAAAATTCACATTATTTTCTTTTTAAATCAAGGTCTAGTTCATGAGAAAACTGGTTGTTAACAATTATTCAATAATCAATGGGTGAGTATTAAACCTGATTTTCCAGAAGAAAGTTCCTCCAGAAGAAGATATGCCTATATTGGTTTCTAAGAGACTGAAGCACAGAATTGCCAAAATGTTTAGAAATTTCCCACATGGAAATTTCCTGAGCATTCAGGATTAAAAAAGCCCAGCTCCTCCAAATCATGTTTTATCTCAGTTTTGATAACACTGCAGAGGGCATGRTCCTGAATCTGAACTAGAATTAAGACTACTTCAAAAGAAACACTCTCCAGTGATCCATTCTTTTCTTCAAAGATCATGCGAGCTCCTAGCTCTCAACAGGTATTTATTATGACCATTTCCTTAAACCAATCCCAAAACATTTTTGCAGAGGTAAGCATTAAGAGTTTCAGCTGGTAAGACAAACACTTCCTACATACTGCAGCAACAACAACATAAAGATTACATTGCCAAGAAGCATGGGGAATACTGCAGGAACACAATGAAACATTAYGAACACTTCTTTTTCCATTTGAAAAACTCATACCTGGGCACACTGCCTTTTAAGCTTCTTTTGCTTGATGACGATGACGACGACGATGATGATGAYGACGATGAGCCAGGTCTCTGCTCTGTCTTCACGCCTAGAGTCTCTGCTGCAGTAACTTGAGGTTTTTCACTAGCTTTTTCTGACTTCTTTTTTTCACTGTCGCTTTCATCACTGCCTTCCCCTAGGATGTCATCAACCTGCCAAATATTGAAGAGTCAGTAAGCCCTGTAACAGGCTGTTATATTGACATACACCAGTATTCCATAGTTATCAGATTGCTCTTAAACAGCTATTTAAACAAAAAAATTCAAACTCCTTTGACCTTTTCAGTGAAAATTCCATGTATCCAGGTATTTCTGGATAAAGATACACATTTGAAGAGGTGTATTCCTAAATAACAGTGTATGAAGTGAACTGAACAAAAAGCACACTGCTCTAACCAGATTCTGCCTGCTAATGTACTAATTAGTAAGGCAAATATATCAAAACATTTACACAGATCATTAAGGTACTCTTTGTCCTTTGCTTCTGAGAAGTTGCTACTTGACTTCTTATTCCTCTAGAAACATGCTAATTTGCTCTATGAAGACTGAAGCTGCTGAAACTACTACTGAAAGCAATGAGAAAATACAGCTGATGCCATAGTCTTGACTTTTGTGACTGGCAAAGGACAAGTAAAGAATGCTAAAAATTGATTCTTTGCTGATATTTAGAGATTCTTCCTAAAAGTAGCAAATCTTGACAGCAAGGGCAGGCTCCTCTGCCATTGCAATTCTCAGTACTCACAACATCCTTTTCCTACATCTCAGGCTATCATGACTAACAACTCAATACAGAGTCAACACAATAACTAGAAAAGTTTCCAAAAGAAGGAAAAAAATTTAAAAATCTGTATCCTCCCCTTGTCCACATGGTCAAGGCTGTGACAAATTCAAAAGAAAGGAGGATCATTTCGAGTTCCTCACAGAGTTGCCACTCTCACCAAAACTCAGCCCTTGCTGCCAGGATCAGGGGATTTYGTTGCCACAGTGTGTATCCCAGACAAACGACAAAACTCCAAAGYTGAGAAACAGCCCTCTGTTCCTGCAAACACCACATCTGCTTCAGCAAGAAAAGCCTCTATGAACAAGGACCAAAAGATTTTACACTTGTTGCAAATAACAACCCCAAAGGTAAAAAAAAAAGAGACAGCCCTGAAACAAGAAGGCTCCCCTAGTCTGGGGGCAGCTGGTCCTGAGCAGCAGGTCTCCGTCTCCTCTGTATGCTTGCCTTGACACCAGGGCAGCAGAGCTGAGGCCGCTCGGCCTGCGCCCAGGAGGACTGGCCTTTGCCAGGGCTCTCCTGCAGCCACGGGACTGAACCAAACGCYGCTGCGAAAAGGAACTGAAGGAACAGCTCAGGAGCAGGAAGGCAGCAGACATGGAAACTATCAATTTCCATTTCTTGTCTGGTGCCCTATGGAGACAGGGAAGACGCATGACCCGAGATGACAAACAGACTCCACAGGCGACTTTGCCAAACAGATGGCTGAGTCCCCTCACACTCCTGYTGACTTCAGAAGGAGGGAAGCTGGAGAATTTGTCTTCAATTCTCTGCTGAACACACGGATTTGGGGGAATGACTGCCTTTCCACAAGCCCTGCTCACCTACTCCTGTTAGAGTAAATCACCTTCCTTCTCTGTCTTTTATCACCTTTCATGGAGCCTCTGCCAATCTGCACTGGTGCAGTAAGAAATGATGCAGAAGGAAATGAAGGGAAAAAAACCCAAACACAGGAACTCAAATAATCCTAAAACAACAACTTAGAAAACTGTCAACATAAAGGGAAGTGAGGTCATTTGCGAAAATAGTTTGTGAGGATTTGTTAGTTTCAGAGTTCTTGAGCTCAAGTTTTAAAACTTGGATTTGAAAATACATGCTCTCCTATGCTTGGGTGGAATGACTTCTGCACAAGATGAAATGCACCTTGCTAGCTTCCTGGACCTATGATTTAAGTTGGTTTTCCATCAATCCTTGTCATGGCCCCTTGTCTTGGACCCTTTTAATTACATGAACGGTTCCTGGTTCAATACTCAACTTGTCCATTGTAAAGATATCATAATTAAAAGGAAGCACACACCAGTTTGAAGCATCTAAACACAGATGTCAAATAATTTCAGGCAGGAATCAATGACATAACAATCACTATGTCAGGTTAAAGCACATCTCCTCTAGTCCAGAATGCTCTTCCCAGCACCAGGTGTTGCCACACATATGGAAARCAAGAATCATGAAAAAGCATTCCATGGTCAAAGAGACTGAAAAGATCAGGCAGAGATGAGTGAATTGGGTAAAAAGTGTGGGAAGTAGGCAGGACAAGCTTTTCCATGTGCACAAGAAACAAAACCTACAGAGTTTAAATAGTTCAGTTTCCAGTATGGGATAGGAAGAGCACAATATCTGTATGCCTTTTAGTTTATTAAAAAAATACTCATTGCAGCTAACACGCCTAGCATTTCAAAATCAAATAGCAAAGAGCTACAGCCAATCCTATAGCAACAGTCTTCCAGCAAGCAAGTCCAACAACTTTATGTTTAAAGTTATATGCTATCATTACAAAAGATGTTAAGGTTTTCAAAGGACAGAGTGGAGGTGACAGACATTCAACACTACATATTTCTTCCTCAAGCTGAACTTTTATGGTCTTTCAAAGACCTACTTGGTGTGATCAGCTTTGACAGGTYAGCAGCCCAGCTATTGCCACGTCTCTTCCTTTCACCCTGCACAAAGATGACTTCAGTCTCTTGAAGTCTGGAATGTCATATAAAGTTAGAATGACTAAGTTAGCTCCGTGCAGACATACCCCATTCCTGGGGAAGGCCATTTAAGGAGCACATATAAGCCAAATACTYGTGCATAAATAAGGCAAAACTGGAAAATGATCACACACAAAAGTCATCTTAGTTAATACAGACGGTTCTCAGAAACCTCTTTCCAAATGACTTCAATTAGGATAGCACTCAAAATATAGCCTTGTCTAGTTACTGACTAAATTGCAGGTTGTGCTGAAAGGATCAAGACTGCCACCTCTCCGGCTTCATCTGCTTACAGCATTCTAGAAAACAAACCTCTTTCTTGAGACTTAAATCCTTTCATTCGAAAAAAATTAAAAATGCATATTAATATTTAAGCAAAACCTACAGAGACATGTGTTGCTATCTTTAAATAACATTTTAATAAGCAGAGGAAACCTTTATCTGTTTCAGACCAAGACCAATGCACAAACTACAACCTCTCTTATAAAATTAGGTTTCAAGTCATTAATAGAAATGAAACACTTGTAATAAAGTTTTAGAATAGAATGCCAACTAATACCAAACCTTATACTCAAAAAGACACAGCCCAGGTATATTTATTGCTTAAAGTAGCTACCTTTATAATACTTCAAGATTTTCGTAACACAGAAAGAATGATTCACATTGAAAAAGAAAAAAAAAATCACCCCTCAAAACAACAAATCATTCTGCTTAGCAAGAGTGTGAGAGTTTAATAAATCTTTTAGATACCTGACTATAGCCGCCCTCCTTCCTGCTCTGAAATTTCAGCAAAGCTTTCTTATTTCTTATTTAGGAAAAGTATAACATGTATTCACATACACAAAAATCATAAAACCAAACGGCAATGAGATTTTCAGCCTCTTATTCCTTTAATTACAAGTTGTAAAGTGAAAAACAAAAAACACCACCACAAAAACCTGACAATAGCTGGCACCCCAATATTGTATGTGAAATATATACTTCCCCCACCCCATTTTTCCCAAAAGTCTGTTTATATCTTTCTCAAACTCATTACTTCACTTAAGAGGAAAAGAATTACTATTCACAGTTGCAATGGAAACAAAACTGAACTAGTATTAATAGTAAGCACAGGCAGGAAGGAAAAAACCACATTTCAGCCTAAAGCCCATGTCCCCAAGCAAGCATTTGAGATGGCACTGAATGTGTCTTAGGAAGATCTTGCAACCTTATCATGCTAAGAGGTCCTCTACACCTTGCAGCAGTTTTCACTTTCTGCAGTTGTGAACAAAGTTCAACCTCATCCTTTGAGATAAGGAATCTCCAAGGCTGCGATTCCTTGAAATGAAACAGGCTGGGGGTGTGGAGGAAAGATCAGTCATGGAGTGGACACCACATCTTTTCCAAATAGGCTTAAGTATATTGCCCATATCCTGAAATCCCTGTTTGCTCAAAGCTGGTTCCTAGGACCAAAATGGTTCAAAGTTTAACGTTGTTTTAGCCTGACATTCTCTACTTTACCAAAAGGTATTTGAGGAGTGATGTCTCCCACACATTTGATTTTAATATTAAAAAAAGATAAAAAGCTATTCTTTTGGGCTTGCCAATTGCTTCTAAAATTGTAGGACAGGCAATTGCATTGCCTAAGGCTGCAGATAAATCCACATATATTTCAAAAATTACCAAGTCAACATACAGGAAGAGAAGGCGATAGAATCACAGGATGGCTGAGGTTGGAAGGGGCCTCTAGAGATCATCCAGTCCTACCCCCTGCTCCAGCAGGGACACCCAGAGCACGGGGCACAGGGCGGCATCCAGGYGGGTTTGGAAGATCTCCAGAGARGGAGACTCCACAGCCTCCCTGGGCAGCCTGTGCCAGGGCTCTGKCACCCTCACAATAAAGAAGTTCCTCCTCACCTGGAGGTGGAACTGCCTGGGTTGCAGCGAGCGCCGCGGACGTCCTCGCTCTGGCAGCACGAGCACTTGGCTCCCCTGCGTGTCCCTGCTAGGGCAGCAGGGCTTCGCAGCGTGGGGCAGGAGACGCGCGTCCGCGCAGGCCGCCCTCTCTCCTGCACAAGTGTTGGGCACTGCCCTCTGGCAAACGCAGGAGGTCTCCCCAAGGACACACGCACAGCTTTTATAAGCTCCCACAACTCTTTGATCTTGTAACACTTTTTTCCCCCCAACATACTCTTCTGCTTTGTCCCAGCATTTACTCTTTGTCAGTAGTTTCCACTTGCTCTGTCACCACATGGCAGGAATGTAGCCTGAGCTCATGAGCAATTTTCAGGAATGTTTTACAGGACATGCAAAGGAATCAGCAGGACCTGCCCCTGGAAGTCCAATGCAACAGTAAAAATGAGAAAATTTAAAAAAGACTGGAGGAGATGGGAGATAATGAATAGTGTCACACAGAAGAGCAC